GGGGTGGAGGGGGTCAGTGGGGGAAAGGTGGCATCTGCAATACTTTCAACAATGAAGATAAAATAAGCAAATACGTAAGTCACAGCTTCGAGGCTTCTTGCTGGTTTTTGTCTTTTAGGTATTTCCAAGTCAAGGGCTTCCCTCTGGGAAGAGGAGGACTCAGCTGCTCTCTTTCCCATCAGACACACACTCACACACTCACACACACACATTTCTCCTATTCCTCTCCCCAGTATTTTTTTTAAAGCCCAATATTTAGTGCAGACTTTATTGTGTCTGTTTCCTGCTTTTCACATGAGAGCCAACCAGCTGCGATTTCTCTGCATTTGAAACTCTGGGGCGCATCACAGATGGGGACTGTTCCTTCTGTGAGCTGCAGACGCGGGGACAGTGGTCCTGGGCATTAGACACTTGTGATGACACCAGGAGAGGAGAAAAAGCCCAGAACCGCGCGCCTCCCTCCCCGGCCCCTCCGGTTACCGTGCGCGCCCTCTGCTGGCCACGTTGCGAACTGCGCCTCCCAACAGGCTCAGATCATTGTTCCAGCCCAGGGTCACCCCTGGGGCAGAGCCAGGAAAAGCCGGTGTCAAGTGAAAATGCGGGGCTCTCTGTCCAAAAGCCACTAAGAATTTCAGGATGGAGGACTTTAAGGGAGAGATCGACAGCAATACAGTCACAGTAGGGGACTTTAACACCCCACTGACTTCACTGGATAGATCCTCCAGACAAATCAACAAGGAAACAGTGACTCTAAATGACACACTAGGTCAGATGGATTTAATTGACATTCTTAAAACTGCCTAATATACATTCTTCTCAAGTGCACGTGGGTCATTCTGAAAGACAGACCACACGTTAGGATGCAAAACAAGTCTCTACAAGTTCAAGAAGTTTGAAATCATATCAAGCATCTTCTTGGATCACGATGGTATGAAATTAGAAATCAACTACAGTGTTGAAGCGGATGCCTGCTGATGTTGATGCTCTAAGACAATGACATCAGTGATGACAGTGACACCAGCCACAGGATCAGCTCTAATGATCAAGCTGCTGGGACATCCACATGTGTGACCGTTCAGGGATCTGTCACATCCGTGAGGCTTTTGTGGCTCCACTAGTCTGGGCCGTGCTGGACGTAGCCTCGGGAGTGAAGGACACGCTGCGGTCCTTGTGCCACCACCTCGCCCATGTTAGAGGAATGAAAGGCGCGCTGTGAAGCCTCTAGCGACACCTCATAAGGGAATGACATGCAGACTCCTGGGGTTTGGAGCAAGGCCTGTCACAGAGCTCTCGCCTGTGGAATCACAGAAAGTTCACTCTGACTAGTCAGCAAAGAAGGAAAGGACCCCACTCACTCCAAGTTCATCCTGGCCCTCAATTCCCCCTCCTCCCACACACACCATCAGCCACTCCCTTGCCTGTCCCCAGGCTCCTAGGCAGACTTACTCGCTGACACACAACTCCCCAGGGACAATGCTAATTTATAGACAGATGAGGCACGTCTTGGTGTACGGGCGTGAAACTTGGCTTATCGCGGCTCTCCCAGGCCAGAGGGCGCTGCTGCCCCCAGCCCACCCTCAGAGCCAGCTGCCCACGGTCCTACTGGGTGGGAACTGGGGACTGGACACCTCTGACCCTCAGTCTGGTGCGCACCCCAAGCCTGCCCTGCACTCCCCACCGTCCCCAGGCTCCGTCTCAACTCCTTTTCTAGTCTGACTCCCCTGCTCTCCACTCCCTTCCTGAATCAAACCCCAGACCACCTTGGCTCGCCTCTGTTCATGGTGTCCCTGTCCTAACCCGTCCTCCCTCCCCGGGCTCCTAGCTCCCACCGACACTTCTTTCCCTTGTCCCCTCTCCCATGTCCCCTGCCAGCCTGTACATCTGTTGCTCCCTCTTGTCCCAGCGTCAGGGTGCTAGTCTGAGTTTTCAAGAACAAAACAATAGTGTGCTCTCCTTTCCCCCAGCCCTGCATCTCACGGGGCCTAACATGCATCCAAGTCTGAGAAATGGCACCCCCAGTTCAGCACCAGCTGCAGCGGCTTCTCCCTCAACAGGCGGTGGACCCCTTACTCATGCTCCTAAGCTCCTTCGTGAGCCCCCCAAAAGCCCTCTAACTGCATCCCTAGGTCCCCTTGAACACATGTAATGCTTAAAACCCAGCCTCCCAGGCTTTACAATGTCTCTCCTGGCTCTGAGCAGACCCCCCTGCCCCCCATGCCCACCTCTGCCTACCCACAGTCAGCACCTGGCCAGGCCTCCAAAGACCTCAGCCAGATCTACCCCGAGGCCACAAGGGCAGGACAGGAACCAGCCAGGAGACATTTATTCCCATTCCCCAGGCTCTGGATGGGGCCTCCCTAAGGTCAGGCGCGTGCACTTTGTGAGAATGACAGACAGGAAAGAATGAAGACACACGTCTGCCCGAGCTCGGGCCGTGCAGGGCCGGGAACAAGGTCGGCCGCTGCGGGCTGGGGGCAGGACGTGACACCGACCTGCTTGTTTCATGACGAAATGACTTTTAAAATGCCTGGGACCGTGTCCCCTGAAGGTGCAGTGAGGACGGATGTGCAAGGAGAAGGCCGGTGATGGTTGGAGCGCTGAAGGCTGAGCCCTGTCACCCCTGCAGGGCTCAGGTGCGGGGACAAAGGCCGCCGGGAGGAAAGGGGGAGCCTCAGAAGGATCTGGGCAGTGAGGTCACCTCCTGGGGTGACACCACCTCAGAAGCGATGGGGGAAAGCCCGGAATGTTTATTTGGAGGACTGTAGCCAGGCAAGGGGAGAGATTGGAAAACGAAAATATGGTAAAGATGGACACTGTGAGCAAGGTGACAGGACCAGGGGTCAGAGAAACTTAAGGAGGCAACAAAGACTTTATTCCAGACCATGCGGGAGGCCTGGGAGAGCGAAGCCCCTGAAACAGGAGGCTGGGAGACTTTAAAGCAGCAGAAGGGAATCATAGGCAGCTGTGTTTGCTAATTGGATTTACACAAAAGTAAAACTTCTCATGAAATCCTGACAGGAGGTTGCTTTACCTCTTCATTAAAAATGTCCCCACCTGAGTTAGGCTCCTACCCTCACTCACTGACTGGGACACAGGGACACCCCGAGGATTACATTTCAAAGAGATGGACCAAGGCCCTTGAGAAAGATATTCTCCGGGTCAGAGCACTGGCAAGAAGCTTTCAGACTTACATATATTTCAAAAGGGAAGAGAAAGAACCTGAATTACAAGTTGCAATTACATTTCTAAAGGAAATGCTCTAAAACAAATGGAGGTCAGAGGCCTGCAGTCAGGAAGAGCCTGTGTAAAGGTTAGTGACTCTGCGGGGACACTAGGCCTCTAGGTCATAACAAAGCTGCTCTCTGCACAGTGGAGGGAAACGCAACTAAATCTCTTTCATGAAGACCCAGTTTGCATCTCCATCAGCTTCTGCAGTTTATGAAGAGCTGCGAGTTCCCAGCAATTTATAAGCAGGTGCAGAACAGCTGAGACCCTGAACAGAGCCACACCTGATCTCCCAGAAGGCTGTGCTTCTGGAATTTTCCATGGAGATATTACATTTCTCTCCACAGTCACCTTCCCTTTGATCAAACTTCACCTCCAAGGAAGAAGGGTGTTTTTGATCCTACAACACGGCTGGTGTCACTGGGTTTGGCCTGATTGTAAAGGAACTTCCATTCACCAGAGTTTGCTCTGACGCAGGTTTTTCTGTGAAACCTTAGGTGGGAGTTTTAACAGCCTCTGGAGGTCAGGAAGCCCCCCCCTCACGCCTCACCCGCAGGCTCTGCAGCTTTGGGTGATGACCTTTCCTCCAAGAGATTCCAAAAGACCCATCAGGTCAAACTTAGCTCCATAAAGGGCAAGGTCATTTCTAATCCTCAGAGCATCAGTCTGAACTGGGACACTGAGCCGAAGCTTTGATTGTATTACCAGTATTTCCAATTATATCTTATTAGCAAGGAGGGCAGAGTCATACCGAACTTATGCAAGTAAATCTAGTGCCATGAAAACAAGAATACTCAAGAAGAATTTAGAAAATTTGGGGAACAAGTCAAACATGAAGAAAAAGATCACTGTTACTACCCATATGGCTGTCCTCCTGTCCATTCCCATTGTCCACAACAGTATCCAGGCCCCCTCCACAGAAACCCTGTAGGAGGGACAGAGCTCAGATTCCTATGAGCTTATTATGTGCTCCTTCCGGCCATCACAGAGCCATTGTCCATGTTCTGGGGCACTCTGCATCACCTCCATTGTGGAGATGGTGCAACTTAGAGCAACCAGAGGTGGGATGTGGCTTGGAATGCGGCCTTAAGTCAACAATAATGACAATGTCAGCTCACATTTTTGAGTATTTATCAACTCAATGCAAAACTTCTAAGTACTTTTCACCACTATATATCTATTTAAAAGGTGCAAAAAAGTGTATTCACTTTAATAACATAAAGCAGGAGTGGAGGGTCACTCATATTTCACATCCAGCTTTAAGAGCTCACTTCTCTGGAAACCGTAAGGTCCGAAGGCTAAACACTGGTAATACCCAGCATCCTCCCTTCGGACAGGGTCTATGGTGAGGGTTCTGTTGCTCAAAAACAGCAGCATCCTATTGTTGAGCTTCACACGCCGCCTATTAAAAAACCACAGGGTGAAATCCGAATTTGAGTAGCAGGTCAGGACCACACCATCACTGTGCTCCACGACTGTGGTCTTGCTGGCCTGGATGACGGGCTTTATCACAGGCTCTGTGGAGAAACAGAGGACATGGCTGAGTGAGGGCTTCGGACCCGGGGCCATGCTACCTCCTCAAAGATCTCAGCCAATCACAACCTATGGTGAGCTCTGTAAAGTCACCAGAGGATGACAGTGACCTCTGCAGAAGGATGATTGTCTTTGTTCAGGTGAAATGTGTAAAGAGAAGGGAGGGCTGAACCTCTTCTCTGACCCCAGATCACCCAAGGATGACCTGTTCCCATGGACATCTCTGTGGTATCAGCACAGGGAACCCCTTCCTGCCCACATGTCCTATAACCTCACCATCAGGTGGAGCTTTCCTCTCATGAGCTTTTATTCATTGACTTCAAAAGATATCAGGTCCCATTCATCATATAAATTTTCATGTATTTGGGGAAGGCAGCCTTACCACCTGTGTCCATCTCTGGGGCCAAGGGAACTTTACAGAAAGTGAAAAGGCATTTGCCTCTTGTTAAGTAATTGATTGGGCAATAAAGATGGCCCGACCCAGTCTTCATGACCTTGGGCCTGGAAAATTTTCATCTAAAGGAATCCTCAGTCTGAACAGGACTTCACTTACTGTCTTGTGGATTGAATATCACTGTGAGGTGAATCTTTAGAGAGAAGTTGTTACGGTTTTAACAAAGGGCAGGGACTATAGGAACAGAAGGAGACTACTCGATGTGGTAAAGGCCACACATGAAACCCCAGAGCTAACACAATACTCCACGGAGAAACTCAGGAAAATGTTACTAAAATCGTGAACAAGGCAAGGATGCTGCTTTCCCCACTTACTCAATATAATACTAAAAGTCCTGGCTCAGAAAATTAACCAAGAAGATGAAATACTTCCAAAAAGAATACGGCAGGTCTGCGTATCACAGGACAAATGCACGGGGACCTGAGCGCTCAGAGATGGAAGGCCACCTGCTCTATGTCTGGGGGAAAGCACAGACTTTCTCAGGTGTCAGGGAACTATCAGGTTTGCTCATGGAAAGACGTAGGACTGGGAGCCAGAGGCCACCCGGCACCTGCCCTGGTTCCTCACTGACCAGCTCACTGCCTGGCCGACCAAGATCCATTCTTCAAGCTGCACAGGCCACCGTCGCCCAGCTGAGGTGTGTTTCTATCAGGCACCATTTCCCAGTGTATCCCAGAGACTGGAGTTGGAGCAGAAATAACACTTGGGGATCAGGAGCAAGCCAGGGCTCAGTTGATTACTCAGGCCTCTGGGCCAAGAGCTGGGTCAGGCCTTCCCAGGGGAGTGTGACTGGCAGGAGCCAGTGAGCCCATAAATGACAGAGCAGTGCCCGGGAGTGAGCTAGGAAAGAGCGCGGGGGGCAGGCAGGGGCTCCCTGTGGCCGCAGCACCACGCGCCCTGCCCTTGGTCATGGAAGCCCATCTCCCTCCGCTCAGGGCAGGTGGGGACTTGTGCGGACGCAGAAGGGGGGTGAGGGACGGTAAGAGGGGAGCACGGACTTGCTGAAATTCTGTCCCCGTGGGCCATTTGTGTTTGGTGGTTATGAGATAAAAATTTGGAAAGAAGTTAAAATTATTATTGATACCCCAGGGCCCAGGACCAACTGCAGGAAGGACTATGTCTCTAGAGAGCACCTGAGGGGAGGCCGGGGCGTTCCCAGCGAGGACTCTCATTGTCACTGCAGGTCATTTCGTTCTGGAGTAAAACCAGATTCATTCTCCATTTTGTTTTCAGGCCAGAATCTCTCCCTCTGAGCTCAGGACGCCCAAGAAGAGAGGATCCGAACCAATGGTTGGTCTCGGGGTCCACAGGCACCTGATAAGGCCCCGGGGTGGAGGAGGGGCTGGGGCTGCAGACAGACCTCGAGTGACTCTGCTCAGCTGCTCATGGTCCGAGGGACTCTGCTTTAGTGAGTGTATCTCCCTGTGCCTCCGTTTCCCCTCAGTGAAGTATGATGAATATTTGGCCACCAGGTTGTCAGTGTATTAACCATAAAATAGTCACAGTATCTGACTNTAGTGAGTGTATCTCCCTGTGCCTCCGTTTCCCCTCAGTGAAGTATGATGAATATTTGGCCACCAGGTTGTCAGTGTATTAACCGTAAAATAGTCACAGTATCTGACTAAACCTTGGGAAAGGGGAGCTGCTCAAACAAGAGGCACCTGTTCTTGATGGACTCCAAGAGAGAATCACCGGGGCTGTGGACGAGGGGCTGCCAGGAGCACCTTTTTGCTTCTGCTCCTTCCTTGGGTCACTGACCTTTCTCTGGACTCTCCTAAGTCCCTCAGAGCAGCTGGCAAATGGCTAATGACCCGGGGACCTTGCCGTGTGTGCTCTCCACACGCAGTCTCAGCTGAAGGACAGGCTCCATCCCGCCCAGAGGCAGCTCCTGGGGCTGCAGCCTGGCTGGTGGTTCACTCAAAAGCCTTGTGATTCAACCACCAGAGAAACTGCTGTTCCCAGTCAGACCCCACAGGACGCCTAAGCCAGCCTGACATGGGCTCCCCAGGGTCCCTGGAGCAGGAGCCTCGAGCAGAGGACTGGGGAAGGGCTTCCCGAGCTGAGCTTCTCGGTGAGGATCCCAGGGGGCCCCTCAGGTCAGGCTCTGATTGAGCCCTGCAGGGTTGTCCTCAGGGTCAGGGTCACGGTCATGGGGAGGGGCCCAGGGACTGAGACTGGTCTCCCTCTGCTGAGTCACCCCCATGAGACTGGTCCTTCTCTCTGTGGTGAATGTCTGCAGGGCTGGCATCTGGGAAGGGAGCTCTGATCTTAGGAAGTTTGTGTCCACTGTGTGTGACCTGCACTAAAGGCCCAAACCCAGCCCGGGATGTGATGAGAGGTGGATGGAGGCGAGTCCAGGGCAGTCAGTCCTGTGTGTGAAGTAGAATTCACCCCACCCGACACCCAGAGGCCGAGAGCAGTCACTCACCGTACACATGGAGCCTTGCAGAGGCTATATGTCTTTGTAGAGTTAGACAGTAGACTATTATGGTGTAGTAGCCTGTGTCCTCCTTAGTGACCTTCTCTAGCAGCAGGGACCCATCGTAGATTATTTTCTCTCGACCGCTGTAGGCAGGCCCTGGCGTATACCTTTTGTGGAACACTGTCATCAATGCAATTCTTAAATTGTAGTCTTCCTGTAGCCCTTTGTACCACTCAATGCCTAACACATTTGGAGGCATGTTGAGGATGGGCAGAATCACGTCCTTCCCCTCAGGAGCATTGATGGGCACGACAGTGAGCTGGGCAGCGCCGGGCGGGCTCCAGAAGGTCAACAGTGAGGCTAGGAGGGAAGAGAAATGGATCAATATTTGGGTGTGTGTGTTGGGATGGAGAGATGAGGCCCTGGGTCCTGAGCAGGTCTCATCTCTCAACCTTGGGGTGTGTGTGTCTGTGTGTCTCTCATGGTCCAGGTCAGCAGCGTGGCCACCATGACTTCAGCTCCTCTGAACCTGCAATTTCCTGTTCTGAACACTCTTTCCAGGTGTCTGCCTGGCTCACCCCCTCACTGCCCTCAGGCCCCTGCTGACACTCAGGGGCGTCCTTGGGAGACACCTCTGCTCACCACCTCCTCTAAAGACCCTCTGTCTTCACTTTCTGGCCTGTCCCTGCTCTGGTCCCTTCATGACACTTGTGGGTCCCTGACATCACATGTACATCTTTCCTTGTCTGTCTCCTCCCCATAGAAGGTGAGCTCCCTGGGGCCGGGGCTTGTCTGACCTTGTTGCACCCCCACTGCCTGCAACAGGCTGCAAAGACCTGGGGGTGAAGGAGTGAGTGCTCCCAGGGGCCTGCAGCTCCTGGGGTGTATGTGCCCATTTCTGAGGTTGGTGGTGAGGACAATGTTTAGCGCCCCTGGTTAAGTCTTTTCTGATGTCATCTGACATAAATTATTATTATTACATTAGTTTACAAAATTCAATGCTCAGTGGTGAATGACTTAGGAAATGAACAGCAGTCTAGGTTTCCCGCCCCTCGCCACGTCCAGATCAGGGGAATTTGTTGTTGCTGAGCCCCCTCCCCAGCCTACTCCGCTCCCCTGTCCTCTCCCCTCAGGTCCACACAGCAGCCCTCCCTCCGCTCCCAGAGCCCTGTGCTCCCCAGGAAATTCCAGCAAGGGACCTCCTCCCGTCCACCCCCAGGGACTGTCCCCTCCTTACCAGCCAGCAGGAGCCCCTGCCAGGGGACAAGTCCTCTGAGCACAAGGGCTGAGGGGGACTCCATGGTGGCCGCTGCCTGCTCTGTCCCTCCCACTGTGAGAAGAGCTTCAGGTCCAGTCAGGCTCCCAGGCACCTCTGTTCCCACAGTGGGGATCTTGCTGTCCCTTTTCCCGGTGCCCTGAGCCTTCTCCTGGAACAAGATTGCTTTTCTGGTCACGTGGGCCAGGGCGGGGTTTGTGCCCAGGAACCTCCCTCTCCCACCCCTCATTCCTGCAACCCCTGTCCCCTCCTTCCAGTTAACCATGGCTCTATGTTTCCATTACCTGGGAACAGCTGAGGCATCTGAACACAC